CTCCCAGTTCAGTGTCATATGAAAACTTGCTGAGAGTGCAGTCCACGCCATCCTCCAGATCATTAATGAAGATATTGAACAAAACCGGCCCCAGGACCAACCCTTGGGGCACTCCACTTGCTACCGGCTGCCAACTAGACATGGAGCCATTGATCACTACCCTTTGAGACTGATGATCTAGCCAGCTTTCTATCCACCTTATAGTCCTTATAATCCATTATTCCAGCCCATACCTCTTTAACTTGCTGGCAAGAATACTGTGGGAGACCATATCAAAAGCTTTGCTAAAGTCAAGGAATAGCACGTCCACTGCTTTCCACTCATCCACAGAGCCAGTTATCTCATCTTAGAAGGCAATTAGGTTAGTCAGGCATGACTTGCCCTTGGTGAATCCATGCTGACTCTTCCTGATCACTTTCCTCTCCTCTAAGTGCTTCAAAATTGATTCCTTGAGGACCTGCTCCATGATTTTTCCAGGGACTGAGGTGAGGCTGACTGGCCTGTAGTTCCCTGGATCCTCCTTCTTCCCTTTTTTAAAGATGGGGACTACATAGCCTTTTTCCAGTTATCCGGGACCTCCCCTGGTCACCAGGAGTTTTCAAAGATAATGGCCAATGGCTCTGCAATCATACCTGCCAACTCCTTTAGCACCCTCGGATGCAGTGCATCTGGCCCCATGGACTTGTGCTTGGCCAGCTTTTCTAAATAGTCCTGAAAACTTCTTTCTCCATAGAGGGCTGGTCACCTACTCCCCAACCAATAAGCAAAATGAAAAACAAAACTAAAAACAATCAAGCAAACATGAGCCAAACCTCCCACACCTGATGTTCAGTTTTTTACATCAAAAAAGGAGAAGAGATAGAGATTTCATGAAGTTCACTAGGGACTTTGGAATGGCTATTGATATTCAGTGCTATGGGCTCAGGTAGGGTGAAGATTATATCAATACATTGATAGGTGTGTATGAAGATTTATGGATAGATATATAGATTCTGATCTTATTTACACTGGAATAATCCTTCTCTAACTAATTTCACTTCAATGGAGTTACTTCAGATAATACTACTTCATAAGCAGATTGCATGTTATTCTCTCAAGAATGCAATTATGTCATCAGTTGATTATATTTTTAAAGAAGTGCAGAATGAAATCACGAGCAAATGCCAATGACGGACCTTTTAACTCTTGGTGAACAACCTCCACACAATCAGTTTCTTCAATGCAACTTTGATCTCCTTGTTCCTCACGCTGTAAATGATCGGATTCATCATTGGAGGCACCACAGAATAGAGAACACCAACCATCAGATCCAGACCTGATGCTGAGCTGGAGGTGGGTTTCATGTAGGCAAAGGATGCCGTGCAAACTAGCAAGGTGACCACAGTGAGGTGAGGGAGGCAGGTGAAGAAGGCTTTATGCCAGCTCTGCTCAGAGGGGATTCTCAGCACAGTTTTGAAGATCGGACCATAAGACACATTTATAAAAAACAAAGCAGTTTAAACCTCAGAAAGCACTAAACATAAGAACCACAACTTCACTGAGGTACCGAGTCAGAGCAGGTGAGCTTGAGTAGCTGGGGGATTTCACAGAAGAACTGGTTGATAACATTAGACTGGCAGAAGGGTAACCTGAAGGTGTTTCCAGTGTGCAGTGAAGCACAGACAATACCACTGAGCTGCCATTTGGATACAAGCTCTCCTGTTCATCACTGTCTCATAATGCAGTGGTTGGCAGATAGCAACATATCTGTCATATGCCATGATGGTGTGTAAGGCAAGATTAACTGCAGTGAAGGGTACTACTGTTGGGAGGGTACTGTCTCCACGGTGATAAACAGTTCCTGGCTGTTGGGGAGAATGGTTTCTCTGCTTGCCTGGTGTGCGTTATCTTCAACCTCCTCCTCCTCTTCCTCATCCCTAAAATCCTCATCCCTGTTGCATGAGACTCCCTTGCAGGAGTCCATGTACAGGGGTTGGGTAGTTGTAGGGGCAACCCCTAGAATTGCATTCAGCTCTTTAGAAGCAGCATATCTGGGGGTCTGACCTGGAGCGGCCACTTGTCTCTTTGATTTTTTGGTAGGCTTGCCTCAGCTCCTTAAGTTTCACGCGGCACTGCTGCGGGTCCCTGTTATAGCCTCTGTACTTCATGCCCTTGGAGATTTTTTCAAACATTTTGGCATTTTTTCTTTTGGAATGGAGTTCTGATAGCACAGATTCGTATCCCCATAAAGTGATCAGATCCAGTACCTTCCGTTCAGTCCATGCTGTGCTGATCAGCTTGCCACGCTGGCCAAACAGGAAATGAAATTCAAAAGTTCACGGGGCTTTTCCTTTCTACCTGACCAGTGCATCTGAGTTGAGAGTGCTGTCCAGAGCGGTCACAATGGAGCACTCTGGGATAGCTCCCGGAGGCCAATATTGTTGAATTGCGTGCACACTACCACGAATTCGACCCGGCAATGTCAATTTCAGCACTAATCCCCTTGTCGGGGAGGAGTACAGATATAGATTTTAAGAACCCTTTAAGTCGACAAAAATGGCTTCCTCATGTGGACAGGTGCAGGGTTAAATCGATCTAATGCTGTTAAATTTGACCTAAACTCGTAGTGTAGACCAGGGCTAAGCAGTTTGCCCCTCTCAGAGCAATTGTCTCAGGCCCTCTATAGACTGAGGCAGGTGTTGCATTGGTTAACTGAGGACAGCCCCCTCCACCCCATGAGTGACTGACTCATGCAAGACTCTGGCAGCCATTGCTCTATTGATTACACTTAGCTTTTGTCTTGGGGAAAATTTTCAAGCTTTCCTTCTCAACCATGAGGACTAGAAAATGGCTATAGTTTAGGAAAAGGAAGCTGAGATTCTGTTGTAATTCCATGTCTCCTGGAGCTGAGGTCCTAGACACTGGTTTATAGGCCTTAAACTTTAATCCAGCCCCAAATGCTTTCCTAATACCACAGTTCCGTATGCAGATCTGCTATGTATGCCAGTGGTGCCATGGCGCTGGGCCCACAGTTGAAAGGGGCTCTGGCGTGCTCTCCTCTGCTCCCCCCACCCCCCCCGCTCTCTCCTGTGGGGTCAGAGCTTGATGCTGCGGGCTGCTGTGGCTCCGTGGCAGGCTCTGCCTGCAGCCTAGCTCCTGCCCCGCCCCTTTCCCCAGCGTACTACACACATTCCCTCCCACTGCTCCCTACTGATCAGCCTTGCCCGGGGGAGGAGGGAGCCGAGGCATGCCGCTCTAGGGGGGAGGAGGAGAAGAAGAGGTGGGGATGAGGCCTCTCCCCCACCTCTTTCCGCAGTGTGCTATGCCCCCACCCCCACCCCCCGCTGGTGAGTTGGATCAGCCTTGCAGGCAGGAGTGGGGCAAGGAGGAGCGAGCCACAGCACATCACTCCGGGGAGGAGGAGAAGACGAGCCGGGGTGAGGCCATAGGGAATGGGCTGGAATTGGGGCATACCCCCTCCAGTCCCCTGCATGAGCACCCTCCCCGAAATTCCACCAGCACCTAATCTGAATCGTTCGGCATCTAAATACCTTTGAAAATCTGGCCCTTAGATGATATTGAAAATTCTACCCCATCCAAATCCCGCAAGACCTACTGACATGAGACATGTCAATGGTGTCTCTGACTAGACTGGTGGCATGGGATCATCTGTGGCTTGCTGTGACAGATCCTGGAGTTGCTGCCATTGACATTATGATGTAAAGCACCCCAGGCTTCCCCTGAGATGTTGTGTTGAGGAGACTTGGGGCCATGGATGGATTGATGGGGAGAACGTAAGCTGTGTTGGGATTGCTGAGGTGGAGAAGGTTTTGGCCCAGTGGAATGTGGAGGGTTTGATCTGAAGACTATATTGAGTTGGCAGCTGAGATTTGCAAATCACCTAAAGGATTTGGGCACCTCATTCTCATTTAAAGTAACTGAGGTCTAGGCATTCAAATTTCCTAGGTGGCTTTGTCAATTTCAGCCTTCCTCTGCTGAACACCTAAGAAAATATAGACACAGGAGTTGGAGATACGAGCTCTGAGTCTCTCCACTGGGCTGAATTCAGCCCTTGTGTAAACAGGTGCAACTCCACTGAATTCAGTTCACTAGGATGTAGCCATCTTCACCAGGGCACAAGCTGGTCCATGGAATGCTATGTAGGATATTCAAGGGAACCTAAGGGAGTCAGGCACCCTTCTCCCATTGAATGTAGATAGAAGTTGGGTTCCACAGGTTCTCACTGAGAATCCCAGCTGGAGAACACAGCTCCCTTCACCCCCTTTCCCAGCCAATGAAGCATGTGCCAGTGGGCCAGTTTCTTGTGTCTGGACAACAGTACAAATTAGAGAGAGAGAGAGAGAGAGAGAGAGAGAGAGAGAGAGAGAGAGAGAGAGAGAGAGAGAGAGAGAGAGAGAGAGAGAGAGAGAGAGAGAGAGAGAGAAGAGAGAGAGAGA